ATTTTCTTGTTTTTATACCACATTTCTCTATGAAAATGAATGTATTTAATTTTTATTTTTTAACTAAATAACTATAAAGTAAAAGTAAAAATTTTATCGCTAGTTCTATTGTTTTATTTTTTATAATCAAACAACGTCTTGTGCTATTCACTGTTTCTAATTAAATTGGTAAATAAGATGCAACAAGCTAGAATATCATTTTTGCTCGACTTTTCAGTTAACGATATGCAGTATATAAGCATTTAATAGGAGAAATCCTAGCAAATTAAATCAGCAGCTAAATACAACGTTATAAATATTCACATCCTTGTTGAAATTAATCCTACTCTATCTTTTTCCAAAGGCAAAAGGAAGAAATTTCTTGCTTTTATGAAATGTCACTTTTGCGATGCTCTATCGATCGAATCTGCCGGTCGAAATTCACCATTAAATTTATTAACTTGCGTTCTCTAGGTACACATTATTTAGAACTGGATTAAACCTAAAACTATGAAAAAAAAATCAATATACCTCATTTTGGCTTGAAGAGACAAAATGAGAAAGCGAATCTTAGCAACCAAAACAGCCAACATTCACATTAATAACAAAAAGAACAGCGCCTTGTTCTGTCCGGTACATACATGTATGGTGGCTGGTAGATAGAATCTTTCACCATAAACGGATAGAGGAAATGTGTGCCTCTGTGTGTGCGAACTGACGTAAAAAGAAAAAATAAAAATAAAAACCCCATATTATTTAACAATGAAAACAAATATTTTTCCATGAAATTGATTTAGGCTAAAAGAATCTAACACACCCTTAAGCCATTTAAAATTGAGTTTTTGAACTTTTTTATTAATTTTAGGGATTCATAAACTTTTAATTTTTTAAGATTTAGTTCATCAAATAATTTTTAATTATCATCTTCACTTGTGAAAAATTAAACTCTTGGTATTTTGAGTTGAAATTTTTCACATACGTTGAAAAAATTTTTAATCTATTTTGTCAAAAAAATCAGAATTTTTCAAAATAAAAAACTATTGAAATTTATTTTTAAAACATTAAAAATATATAAAATCAGAAAAAATAGAAAATAATCTTGAAATGATCCCAAATTTTTTGAGAAGCCTAATATAAATCTCACTGAATGATTTTCATAATAAAAAATTTATGTAATTATTACTTTTTAAAATAAATGATAAAAAAAATGAAAGATTGGTTAAATATTAAAAAAATTAAAAGTTTAGGAACCCAAACCAATAAAATTTTTTGAAGAAACTTAATCAAATGACTTAAAGTTTAAGAATGATTTGATACTTTTAACCTAAATTAATTTTCTAATACCACACCTTTTGTCATCGTAATTAATTAAGATTTTTTAACAGACCCTCACAATTTATTGTTGTTAATTTACAACTCTACTTATATGATAATCGATAAATCAATATATTGATTAACATGTCCGTCGCTAAATATATTGACATGATGTATTAATATGTCAAACATGTTAATTATTATAGCAATATATTTATGGATGTAATTATTAATATATTTGATATGACAATCATTATATGAATATATGCATGATTATGGCATTAATAATTCATCTGCTCATAAATTAACACCCCTATCCATTGATGTAGCTTTTAAAAACGGATCATCAACACAGACATCAGACATGTATGTGTATATAAAGATACGGAGGAAATTAAGATCGAAAAGAAAAGAAAAGAAAAATTGAAAAGGCAGTACACAGTAGAAGAGATGATAGACAAGAAAAAATTGATAAGAGGCAGCAGGCGGTTATAGAAAAAGAAGAAGATTCTCCTTTTGTAGGTCCGCAACGCGGATATGGTACGGCTGTCGTTTGTGGAGAACACGACATTCAGTTTTGCTCCTTCCAACTACGCGGATTCTTTGTCATAATAAGTAGTAGTGGAAATCACAGTACGCTAAAATTTGATATTTCTCTTTCAATGACCAAAACAACCTTTATTTCAAGCTACGATGTGTATATATATATATATACGGTAGACCAGATTAAGTTTGCACAAAGCAAGTTGCGTATAAAGATTTGGCTAAAAATAATGAATGAAGTCACTTTTCAAGCCCAACGCTAAACTTCATGATCTACCACATTTAGGATTTTTCTTATTTTACAATTTTGCCCTCATCAATCATAGGGCACAGTATAATCGTTAATTTTATTTTGGTCATTTTTTGGCTCTTAGCTGACAAAATATGATAATTTTGTCACGTTACATTTAAAGTGTCAAATATAATTTATGGTCAACTAAATATTTTACTAACTTAACCAAATTGGTCACTCTAGTGGTTTGAAGATGCGCGTTCTCCTTTTGAATTTCTTACTTGACAAAATTAGTCACTTAAGTTAGTTGATAAAAAATTTGATGAGATTCGTTTTTCAATTTTTTTCTTTTTTAGTATCTCATAACTTATAATTTTACTGGCGTTAATAAAGCACTATTTATTTGTCATTTTTTTTTTAAAGTTTTAACTTGATAAATTTTGTTATTTTATCACACTAAATATAAGATGTTAAATTTCGTCAAACAAGTGTTTAACTAATTTGAAGAAATTTTTATCACTTTAATGTATTTAAAATACAGCCTTTTTAAATTCTAAATTGATAAAATTTGTCAATTTAGTTAATACTAAACTTAATGATTTTTTTTTTTTTGTATTTTTTAATATCTCATAACTGACAATTTTAGTGACTCCAATTAATGACAAACTTGACAATTAAAGCTTACAAAGTACTATTATTGTTTATTTTTATGATCTATCTTGACAATTTAAAATTGACAATTTGATATTGTTGGATAGTATATTCTGAGATTTTTTTTTATCACATTTGATGTTCGACTTGTCAAAATTCATCATAAGAAGTTTTAAAACAACAAGTTTCATCTCTATAGGGATTTACATATGAAAAAATTTGTCATTTTAGTATCTAAAAATCACAAAAATTGTCAAGTTAAATGTCGAAAGATGGTTTGTTTACTCATTTTTTCTATTATGCTAAGTTGACAAAATTTTTCATTTTTTAATTGTGAAAGCTCACGAAATTTGACAGGTTTCACCACATAAATGACAAATTGTATCAGTATAGAGTCTCTAACAAGATGCATTTTGCATTTAAGGGAGAAAATAATTGCAAGTGTTGTCAACTTGAATATCCAATCAAGAGATTGTTTAGTAATTTTTTCTTTACTTAAGTGAAAAAATTCATCATTTTTCCTTTATAAAATGACAACATTTGTCAAAATTAGAGAAATTAATATGATGCGATCTATCATGACGAATTTTATCATTGAAAATCATGTTGAGAGGACAGCGTAAATACCAAAATGATAAATTTGACAGCTTTTTAGGATAAAACATGACAAAATTAGTCATTTATTTTATATAAAATAACAGAAATTATAATGTTATAAAAACAACTATATATGACAAAATCCTTCACATTTTATTATTTGACATGAAGAATTTCATCTTATAAAAACATATTGGAAGTACTTAAAATTTATCTTGACAAATTTTGTCATCTTTGATCCATAAAACATAATTAAATTTGTCAACATTATATGAAAAAAATGACAAAATTCATCAAATTTAAAAATATCTAAGTTAATAAAATTTGTCAGTTTTGTGATATATTTTAGATGGCAAATATTCGTCATTTGTGATTTAGTTCTATAATATAAAGTTAAATAATTAAGATTTCATTTCATTCAAGAGACTTAACTCTTGTGGTAGGTGACCTCTTTTTAATTTTATATATTAATTATATTTAATTTATTTATTTAATATGAGATATGTTTTCTAACACACATCAATAGAAATAACTATACTCACTTGGTGAATATTCGTCATGTTTAGCTATGATGATGAAATCCGGTGTCTTATGTGACAAAAAATGTCATCAAATTCGGTGTGTTTTGTTATAGTGGTACTAGCTAGCTAGTAATATTAATAATCATACATGTTGGAGGGAGGAGAGTCACTCTTCTTTAGATTAATTGTCCAATGATAGTGATGCATAATTAGTTGTTCTAAAATGTATAAAAGATTTTGCGTGTGTGTTTGTTAATTGTTGTTTATTGTTCTATGGATTATTAATTAAACAATTTCTACTCAAGCTCCCAATTGCAAGGATAAACGATATCAAACCATGATCATATATAGTGTTTAAAATCAATTGACAATTTCGATCCACCTAAAGCGAGTCTTCCTTTGGTAGCTCAAGAAAGTTAGTTAGCCATTTTGTTATATAGATACAGAAATTTCAGAAGCTTGCTTTGTGCTTCAATCCTGGTTTTATGTCTGCAATAAATAACGTAAATTTCAACATCCGAGAAAGGAAACCCTAATTCTCTTTGAAGTACAGTATAAAGAGAAACAACATGCCAACTGACTGTCTTTGCTAGCCCTAAGGCATGAATTTGATGAGAGCAAGTAATAAAAATAATTAACCACTAGCACATTTTTCTTCCCACAACGAAGAAGGAAGGAAAAAAAAAAAAGGGAAAAAAGAGAGAGGAAGTTAACAACATTACCAAATGACCCCAAAATCAAGCTCAGATTCAGAAAACAGGGGCTTTTCAGCCATTTCAAGCAAGATTGAAAACATTATCATGTTCCTCTCTCTCTCTGTCTTAAAATTCCCACAAATAAGCCTGGACAGTTGTATATATTAAAATTAAAATTTTAAGACAATCTTAAATAGGGAAAATTGTGGGACCAAAATACCTTCTACTACTTTATTGACTCTGTTTGCCAAGGGCTCATACAATCAATCCTTCCTCTCAACAGACAGCTTGTTTTTCTCTTCAAAATCTCTCCTTTGTCCTTCCACTAAACAAATCTTTCTTGTCAATTCTCCTTCCCCTTCTATATATAAGCAAACCCTCTCCTTTCCTCTAAACAACTACACCAACTCCCTCAACACCTCTCTCTATCTCTTCTGATCACACCAAAATATATTAACTTCTTCATTAATGGAGGATCTTATGATGAGGAAACAACCAGCAGCTTTTATGCCTAGTTCAATTACTCCATCACCATTAACCATGCATAAAAACTCGCACACCATAGCCAAAGTCAAGCCAAAGATACGCATAATTCACATCTTTGCTCCTGAAATCATCAAGACCGATGTTGCAAACTTTAGAGAGCTGGTGCAAAGACTCACAGGGAAACCAACGACTGATCAAAAGGGAGGTTGCAAGAAGAAACTAAGAAGGGCAAGAATACAAGATCAACCAAGAAACTTCAACAACAACAACTTATGTGACAAAAAGGCTGTTGTGACCAAGAAAGTTGAGCTAAGAAGTGGGTTTGGGAGCACTTTGGGGTCTAGAGAAAGAGTTAAGGAGGAAGAAGAAATGTGGAATGGTGCAAATTTAGGTGGGTTCTTAGGTGGATTTACAGATTTAGATGGTTTTATTCAAGAACTTGGTGAATTTCCATTGCTGCCTATGGATGCTAATCACATGCAAGGCTTTGGAGAGACTCAACTTGTCTAATGATCAATAATGGTTTTTCTTTTTCTTTTTCTTTTTTTTTTTCTCCTTGCAAACGCTTAATTATATGAGGCTTTTGTGTTTTTTTTTTTTTTGATATATAATATGTAGCTAATTAACTGAATTCTACTGCATATTAATTACTTTGTTCGTTTGCCGATTTCTTGATCTCTATTTAATTTCTCTCTTTGATGTAAATACAAGGGAAAAACTTTTGTTTTTTAACTTGCAGATCAGAAATTGCAATTTTTTTTTTTTTGAATTACGTGTCTACCATTTGAAGGTAATAGAAGTAAACTGGAAGTACTGTCCATTTTTGGGTTAATTTTATGTGTCTTATTTTAGATATCTTTTGTTTCTTTGATTTGGATGTGGCTATGGCCTTTGTCTTATCTATGTGTGTCTGTCTCTCTCTCTCTCTAGCTATCTATCTTTCTCTCAGGGAAGAACATTGTCTGGTTTGGCAGACCAAACATGAACGTTCAAAACTCTCAACACATTAGTATATATTTGATAAATAAATAACTTTTCTTGCAAGACTTAATTGTATTTCGAATTAAGTTTTATAATAGCTAGCCGTCTCTCAATTATCTTCTTGGTACATTGTGCATGCATCTGTCTCCGTCTCTCTCTCTCTTAAGTTCTAGTTAATTATCTCTCTCTCACACACACACATACATATGTATGTATGTATGTATATAATTCCGAATCTTGAGTGACTACAAATTAAAATGAACCCTTGCCAAGGACGTAGTATATATTGTGCTATCTTGGGTAGTTTCGCTATCAATACTAGTAATTATTCATTCTCAAAAATAAAATAAAATATATATAGTTATTATTGGAATACCTACATGATTCCTATATGTGTAAAATCATTTGCATTAATGATCAATATTTAAATAGATTTTTTTTTTTTTAGAACAGCATTCATATTCTACTGTTTCTATACATATATACTCCTACTAACACTATCAAAATAATAAAAAATAGCAACGGTTTTTTTACGAGGGACTAAAAAACCGTAGCAAAAAAGCAATTTTTACGACGTTTTTAATAGAATCATAGCAAATCAAGATGTCAAAAATAAAATTAGAGACGGTTCCTTTCAAAACGACGTGGATTAGCAACAGTCTACCCAAACCGTTGCTAAACCGTCCGAATTAAAAAACATTGACAATTATTTGTGATATTTTTTTGAGAAAAAACCTATCACAAATAGAGTGAAATTAGTGATGGTTTAGTAAAACCATTGTTAATTTCGGACGGTTAGGGGGAAATTGAATTTTTCGATTAACGACAGCTTTAGAGACGATTTAAAAACCGTCGCTAAAACTTAAATGCCAAAAAATACATTCTTCTCGTTTTTTCCCCATTTTCTCTCCTTCTTCCTCACTTTTCCAGCAAACCCTCTCTCCCCAATTTTTCCAGCAACTTGAACTCTTCCCCTCTCCTCCTCTCTTTCCTCTTCTTGTCTTCTTCCCCTCCATCTCTTCCCCTCTCCTCCTCCCTTTTCTTCATCTTTCTTTCCTTTCCTACTCCTTTCTTGAGTCCTCTTCTCCATGGCAGCATCTCTTTTACAACAGTAGCAACTCCTCCACGACAGCAAGAGCTCCTCCACGAGTAGCAGCTACTCCTCCTTCTAGCTTGGCAGAAGCTCCTCTTAATTTGGGTATAATTTTTTTTTCAAATTTTTTGAATAATTTAATATTTTGTTAATTATTTGTTGTTAATTTTTAATGTTATTGGTGTTAATTATTTATTAGTTAATTGTTAGTAAGTTTAATTGTTTATTATTTTTGTTGTTAATTTTGCTTAAATAATTTTTAAAGTGTTTGGTTAATAAAACACGTGTTAAATAATTTTTATTTATATATTTTTTAATGAAATTAAGTTTATTTGTTGGTATTTAAAAAATTTAGTTGTTAATTGTTGTTAAATAAGTGATTAGTTGGTTAACGTTATTCAAGTATAAATTATTTTGTCAATATAAATATTTGTTATTTGTTAATTAATTTTATTTTGTGTTCACATAATTAATTAAGTGTTAGTTTAATGAATTATGTTTGAAATAAATTTTATTTAGTTGTAAATTGTTAGTTAGTTTATTTAATTTTATATAATTTTATTTTTTTAATTAGTTAAACAAATTAGTTAAATTTAATTTATTATTATAAGTACTTGTTATTTGTTAATTAATTTAAGTTTTTGTTTACAAAATTATTTAAGTGTTGTTTTAATAAATTATGTTTTAAATAAATTTCATTTAGTTGTCATTTAAATTAAGTGAAATTGTTGATACTTAAATAATTTAATTGTTCTTAAAAAATTGAATAGGTGCTAGTTTTATTAATAAATTATTTAATTGTTAAATTAGTGATTTACTTGTTAATAACATTATTTAAAATTGTGAAAAAATAAAATATTTAATTTTTTTACAAATTAATAGCGTTAGTCTAAAACCAAACGGTAATGGATGAATTTAATACAAAAAAATAGAAAGATACAATAGAGAGCAAAAAAAAAGGAGTAAAGGGACTTTTGTAACCATTAATCTTTTTAATTGATGATAATATAGTTTTTTTTAAAAAAGCCAAGTTAAGAAAATTGACACGGGGAAATTTTTATGAATTTAATACTTGTATTGCCTCTGGAGGCAAAGTGAGAGAAGTTAATTAAGGTCTACGCCGTAACAATAATTATCTGAAAAAAAATAAAACAAAATGGTATTTTACAATAACTAATTTTTTTCAGGATTAATAATATAATCTAATGTGTTTCCAAAAAAAATAATTATGACACAATGAAAAAGATATTTATAATATTGTGGCTACTAATTTAGTTGATAATTAAAAAAAAATCATTATTCTTTCTTGTTTTCGATTTTTGGTCAGATGAAATCAATGGAATCGATCACTAAGGAATTTAGCTAAGATTGATGAAAACAAAATGATTTCAAGAACTTTTCAACTTTTTTTTGTTTAGCGTTCACTCTTTTCTTTTAGAACATGTTATTTGATTCTAGACTACTATCAATCATGCGAGAAAATTGGAGTAAATTATAAATTAGTCGCTTTCGTTTAGGGAAATGAATTAATCAATCTCTTTTTTAAAAAAAATTAATTATTTAGTCCATCACTTTTTTATTCATTCAATAACTTAATTTTTTTCATTAATTTTATAATAATTTAGTTATTTTTATTCTTAAATTACCTTTTTTTTTAATTTTTGATTGAGGAGACGGAAAAAGAGTAGATAAATGAGAGAAATAAAGTATGAATAATGCAATTTGAGAAAAAAAATCCCTAACCTAATGAAAAATTAATGAAATGCCTAAATTATTGATAAAATTAAAATTCGGAAAACTAAATGATCAGCTTTTAAAACGGGAAGGATTAATTACTTCATTTCTCAAAATAGAAGGGACTAATTTATAATTTACTCTAGAAAACTAGGACATAAAGAGATATTTGATTACTCCTCTAATTTATAATTTCTCTTATTTATCCACTCTCTTTCTGTCTTCTCAATCAAAAATTAAAAAAAAAAAAGGTAATTTAAGAATAAAATAACTAATTTATTATAAAGTCCGAATAATTCAATTTGAGAAAAAAAATCCCTAACCTAACGAAAAATTAATGAAATGCCTAAATTATTGATAAAATTAAAACACGTAAAACTAAATGATCAGCTTTTAAAACGGAAAGGATTAATTACTTCATTTCTCAAAATAACGAGGACTAATTTATAATTTACTCTAGAAAACTAGGACATAAAGAGATGTTTGATTACTCCTCTATTGAAATTCGGCAAAACATCCCATCTCATATTGTCATATTCCTCTTTGCTTTCTTGTTTCTTTTCCTTTTCTTGTTTCTTTTCCTTTTCGATTCTCAATTTCTTATCCTTTTACGTCCTGTCTTATTCATTTATGTTCTTTACCTAACTAAGAACATTTTTTAGTTTTTAAACTAGAGATGGTTAATATGCAGATGATGAGGCAGAGGCAGTAGATATTTGCTGAATATGCAGTAAAACAATTCATCCATCGAACCTCCGATTGACAATTCTACTCAACCTCCGATTGACGACCATACCGATTGTTCGTAGCTTTTACATTTTCTTTTTCATGTAATAATAACAAACTTTAAAATTTATTTGTAATTAAATATTGTAATATATATTTAATTTGTAATTAAATATTATAATAATTTTGTAATATTTAAAAACCTTATGTATAGGATTATTTTTAGTTTTTAAATTGGAGTAGGTTAATTTAAAACAATTAAAATTCAAGTAAAAATAAAAAAATGAAAAAAAATAAAATCATCTCTAAATACAAAATGTCAATGACCAGTTTGAAAATCCATTGATAATTTTCCCAATATTAGCTACAATATTTCTAAAAAATTGTGACAAGTTTTTACTAAAATTAGTGATGGTTTTTTCCGTAGCTAAATTAGCAACGGACATAAAAAACCGTTGCTAAAAATTAGCGACAACTATTTTACCGACGATCTAGAAATCAATGCTAATTTTATTTAGCGACGGTTTTTAAGAATTAGCGATGGTCTAGACCATCACTAATTCAGCATTTTCTTGTAGTGTGATTTCAAATAATATTAGTAATCATGGATTAAAATTTTCTTCAAAATTGTAAATTTTATATAGCACTTGTTTCTTCAATTCTTTATTATTACTATTATAGAAGTAACTAATTGGTTCCCACATTATGCTGTAAAATAGATGGAACAAATAAAATTATTTAAAAAATAATGATAGTTTGATGATTATCACCATGCTATTGGTCCAAATAACAAAACCAAAGGCAAAAAAAGAAAAAATAACCTAACTTAATGATTTTATTTAATCAAAATTTTGTATTTAATTAATTATTTCTTATGTTTTTTTAATGCATTTCATTCTTAAAAAAAAAAAACACAATTTTTTATTCTTTATGCATGGATTCGTAAGTAAAAATTTATAATAATCTAAAATAAAAA